ATATACATATATATATATATATATACATACATACATATATATATATATATATATATTCTCCTATATAATATCTCTAGCATATGTATGCACTGGCTGGACTTTGATAGACAGTAAAGAGTGCAGATGCTTCTAATATACAACATTATAATAGCTGTTTTTATTACATTTATTACATTTAATTCTAAAATGTTATATTTTATTACCTCCATATTTTATAAAGGAAATAATGCATAATATGTTAATTAAATTTTTAAATAATATGAAATTAATAAGGAGTAGAAGCTGCATCAAAAGCATTCCACTCTGATTCAGTAATCCCTATTTGGTATTCATACTTTGAATATTACAGGATGCAGCAACACAAATGAACTTCCTTTTAAAAACTGAGCATTTGCCTTAATCCTCATATCCAAGTTTTCTAATGTGGTGTATCATTGTAGTTCCTGTGAGGAAAACCTTGGATGTGTTCAAGCACCTGATACAACAATTTTCATTCCACAGACACTCACTGTTGACAATGAGAGAAATTGTATGAGCCCGGAAAAAGTGGAAGAGTAGATGTTGCAGTGTGACCATCTGGACCATCACATGGCTCTAGTGGGACATCTGATTATGAATAATGTTGCATTCACATGAACCATCCAGAGAATGGTGAATCCCTAATAGCTAACAACTAAGTTGAAGTTTTTTTCTTGGGTAGCTTCTTCACTGGAAGAGGATGCTCCAGGGATATATTCACTTCTGATATTACTGTTTTGGTGACAAGATAAAAACATTAATATATGAAAAATCCATAGCCTATTTACTCAAACAAAATAAGGTTTATTTGTTGTTCACTCTGACTATTCTTCCAAGTCAAACACCTGTTTTGTTCTGTGTTTACTACTTCTGCATTTTAATCAAAGAAACACGAGTAAGTTTGTAAAATAAGATTGAGGTAGCCTAAAAGGGTTTCTAGAATCATTTTAGAGAGGATATTGGAACCAAGCAAAGAAAACACACGCATGCATACACCACATACACACAGGGTAGGAAAGCAGGTACGAACAAGAGAGCAAGAATGAGAGAACTGAAACAATAAAATGGATTTGGTAGGTTATTTTCCTTAATGACTGATTATTCTCTCTTACCTACAAAGAGACTACTCATAGCACTTAATTTTAACTTCACTTCTGCCTTTGGTTCTGCCATGAGAACTGTTTTCACCAATGAGATGTCAGCGTATGCAATAATCTTCACATGCATGAGGTTTGTTGGTTGTTACTTTGCAATATTATAAAAATATATGCAAGATAATTTGAACAACTAATTTGAAGATAGTTTAAGGAGAGATAATTGAGCTCTGGAGAGAGAGTTTGAAACTGCCTGTCACTGAGAAAACAGGTGAGAGAAAGTGGTTTCCAAGATTTGATATCCATTTGAAAGGAACAAAATTTAGCATTATTTAACACACTTTCAATAAATTTTTAATTTCTTCCCAGTGAAGTAAGTTTTGTCATATTTTCATTTTATTGAATATAGCTGCTGTTGTGTCTGGCTTATGCTGATTCTGCTCAGACACTAATTTTTGTGGATTATGTTTAATACAGACTGAAGAAAAAGTCAAATATTCTGCAAAAGAAGGCCTAACCTGAGGAAATAGTCAAGATGTTCTTTGAACATCAGATGTAGACACAATTTTTTTGTACCAGGGATCAAACTCAGGCCCCTGTGCTTGTGAGGCAGGTGACGGCAACACTGAGCTAAATCCCCAGCCCTATATAAATATTTTCCTCATTTTCAAAAGTTGTTACAGAATATTCCAGAAAGCAAGGTAATATGGATATACACTTTTGTGTTAAATAGATTTAGCTAATAGAAGTCTAATGCCTTGATTAAAATTCATAATACAATCTAAAATATGACTACATCTAGATCCTAGATTCAAACAACATTTTAACTTTTCTTCTTCTAAATATTGGTATATATTTTAGATGCAGAATAATTACATTCAACTTAGGGAATTCAAAAATATACTTATAGCTCCTCCTCCTCCTCCCCCTCCCCCTCCC